GGGAATGGCACTAGGGCAAAGGCAGCGAGCATCGTTCATCATGCCTCATCTAGAAGTGTAGGGAATATTTCAAACATCAACTTTGAGCCCCACTGTGATCATGTATTTAAGCATGGTGGTGTCCAAAGGGAAAGAAGCTAGAGATAAAAGAGTTGCCAACAAGTTTTAGGAACTTGTAAACCGTTTACGGGTGTGAAGGTTACACCCTATTCACGATCACAGAGATCGCTAACTCCATAGTGATCCGGAACCATGATTGAATATTCGGGGATGATGGTACGAATCTAACCTAAAAAATATTGAACCCGCCTTAAATCGGCCTCTACTTAATTCTTATGATATTCATGTGCGATTTCCGATCAACATGCATACAATAAGCTAGCCCTAAACCTGTTTAATCTACGTTGGTTGATTATTAATGCACAAATAAATCTATTATTGGTGATCAGTTGAATTAAAATCATATTAGCCTAAATCAAAATTATTAATTATCTTATTAGGCGTGATTTCAAGTACAAATTCCCTTTAAACCTGCAAGATAGACGTGACCAAACAATAACAATAATATATGAATAATCAAGCAACATATGAGAGGAAGAAGAAATATTAACAAATTATATATAAATTATTCGTAAATTAACAAATCACGTAAAACTTTATATATCTTGACACAACAATCATCACCATCATAATAAAATTCTCAAAACATAATATTAGCATGATCCTAGGCATGATACTAAACGGATTAATAACAAATCCTAGCATGTCACTAATAATAAAGGTCAAAACTTTAGCCTAAACATGATACTAACAAGCATGATAATATTAGAAATATTAAAGTAACATCCTAACATGATACTAGGAATCAAAATAAATATCCTAACATGATACTAGAAATTAAAATAATATTCTAAGCATGATTCCTATACCAAAAGCAAAGAATAGAGATAATAGATCTACTCACTTTGAAGCATCGTACATCTTTCTTTCAAAACAATACATGCGTTATTAACTTCAAGAAAGATTAAACCAAACACATAAATCAAATAATAATAAAGGATTAGGGACCAAGCCCTCAGAAATATCAACATTTTACGTCGAGGTCAAAGGCAACTACAAGAAGGGCTTGGAGTATTCAAGTCTTGCAAAGGACGTATGATGTTGGGGTGTGTTTAGGCTAAAGCTAAGAAAGAAAGAGAAGCTTATTAGCTTAGAGAGGGATTAAGATGATGATTGTGTGTGAATGAAAACGGAGGAAAATGACCCTATTTATAGGGAAAAGATCAGAAAAGAGAGTCAGAATTCGACTTGGATTAAAACAGATCGTATCGCGAAACGCTAGATATATAGCAGCGCGATATAAGTATCGTCCATCGATATTTTTTGAAAGATAGAATTCGCACGGAATCCGACTTCCAATCAAATTGGGTTAATCGTATTTCCGTACGTATCCTAGTTTTATCAGAATTAAACCAATTAAAAACAAGTGTTTTTATCTAAAGTAAAATCCTAAAATCTTATCTTTTCAAAAACAGGATAAATTATAACCTTCTAGAGAATTCTAGAAGCTAATAATAAATCCTAAGGGATTTAGGAATGATGTTTAAAGGTAATGGACTCTCCACAGGATTATTGGGTCGTAAGTAAGGCTCGGTTTGGGTTCGGTTTATTATTTTGGCCATAACTTCCTCGTTATAACTCGAATTTGGGCTTATAATATATCGTTGGAAATCTCTTTTCAATCTCCATCCAACTACCCAATTATCGTTGGAAATCTTTTTTTTTTCCTTGAACCAAAATAAACTGGTTTGGACGATTTTATAAAGAGGACACGAAATAAATGATTTTGGGTTTAAGGCACCAAATAAATGATTTTGACTTAAAACATTTAAGGAAAGGTTAGAAATATGGAAGACTTAGGAAATTCACGAGACTCTTCAACTCTTCGCCTAACTCGATAATCAAAGACGTGAAAGGTACTCATCATTGGGTTTGATTTTTGGGGAGACGCAATCAGGTGTCTACAGGGAGCATTGAAGAAAGCATCATCTCTGGTGCCATGTCTTCTAGTGTGTTTTATTTATGAACCAGTTCATGCTGTCATGCTGCGATTCTTCCTCCCAACATTTGGTGATTTGGTGTTCATACAAAGTAGATCAGGTTGACAGGGACTATGAAGGGGAGAAAGAGGAGTTAAATTGTGGCTCGGATGCTGGAGGAATTGAGTTTGAAGAAATAATATTACAACCACATGAATTTGAGCATCTAGGCACTGATGCTGGTCACAGACTGGGAAGAAATACTGCCTCGTCTTATACTGTTTGGGAGGTTCTCCCATACAGCATCAACAATGCAGTCATTACTGAGTTTCAACATACAACCAAGGACACCTCTTATTGTGCAGAAGTAACAGACAGCGAACTCCGAAAGAAGAACAGAAATATGATGAAGGCGATCTTCAAAACATGTCTGAATGATGCCTTTCCGTCAATGAAACATTTTACACTGATGGTCGTTTTCATGGACCAAAAAAGAGAGATGGCTATCAAAATTTTCTGTGCAAATGCTCAAGCTGCGAGGCTGGCTCGCCATGGCATTGATTCGATTACAATTTCTCTGTGGTTATTCGACAAAGTTGGTCGTTCTTTTCTTGGAAATCACTGGTTGTATGCAAAGTGCCTGGCAACTGCATTCCCTTCTTTCTCTTTTTATTTTCATTTTATCTTTCTTTATCCTTTGTTTTCTTTTATCTGCTACAACATTTGTGTTGTTGTTGTTGTTGTTTTCAGTTGAAGAGAGGAAACTGCCTAGTGGATGTCAGTGACAAGTTCCTGATGGCAGACCCAATAGGTTTGCTATGGGACGAAACTGATTTGTTGAACGAAGGTATGAGGGGCACGGAGGTGTTCATTAGTCTTGTAGGCTATTTCGAGGATGCAGTTGATGATTTAGATTCTGTTCAGAATCTTCTTGCCAACTTGGACATGAATACCATTAATGTAAGTCTTACATGGATATTGTTTATGCTGTTTGTTAGATATTTTTATAAGTTACTGACAAAAAAATTTCACCTGCAGAATTTTAACATTCTTGCTGCTGCTGGAAAGATAATGGTGCCGGGGCTCGGAGACTTTGCTGAGGGGATGGGAGCTGACGGTGAGGAGATGAAGCTAGATTTAGCTCTCTGAGCAGTTTCTAACTTTCTACTTGGTACTGATTGACTATAGTGAACTTCCTGGAATGTGGAATAGGCAGTGAAAGTAACTTTGTAATATACTAAACAAACCAAACTGGTAGTTTTGACTTGATTACAAGCTTTAAAATTGGTTTAGCTGATCAAGTATATGCTACATTAAACATATGACGTGCTTGCTCAATGCAGCTTTGTTTCGAAAATTTTAAGAATGTGGTATTGTTCAACAGAGTATGACAAGTTGAGATACAGTGGTGTTCTTCATTGTGTTCTGTCCTGAAAAGTGATGGTATTTTCTTATCTGTTGTGAATTTGTGATACTCTATTCAAATCTATAAGACTCTTGAATCTTAAACTAATCAGATATACCTGTGTTGCCTAGTGAAACCACAGTCGAAGTTTAAACACGCTGTGCAGCTTTACGGGACATTTTCAGAGCATCTGTCTTCTGACTCTGAAATTTAAGTTATCAGCATTTTTTTTTGCTGAATTCCTAACATCCAAAAACCTCTGTATGATAAAATCACTTCTAAGACCGCCTAAATACCTTTTTCTCCCCTTCCATCTTAGTTTGTTTAACTTTTAACTCCCAACTCTAAAATCTTCTACATTCCAGTACGCACTCCACCGACTCTGCTGTCTGTGTCAACAGAACAACCTCTACCTTGAATCCAGCATTACCACAATACCACAGCATATAATTGAGATTTTGCTTAAGTCATGCAACAAACCACAGATGTATTGTGTTGATGTCGATAAGCATGCAATTCATAACTGGAGACATAAGGCATACTTGGTTAATTATACGATCAATAATCAGAATGTTGCCTTAGTTACTGATGCTATTCATACCCTGATGTGTCGTATTATTTTCCACCAATTACCAAGATTAGCAAATCGAGGCTCAGATCTTGTCTATGTGTGTGTGTAATTTTTGTTCACTCGTCATGCATATACACTCATAGAAGCCAATAAAAGGATTAATTATTACTCATTTATATAGTTGACATGATAACAGTTGAAAGATTGCATTTTGCTGCATCTCTGCCTTTCTTTTATTTTATTTTGGAATTGGAAAAACCAACATCAAACTTATGTGTCGAGATTTTTATAATTTAAATACATTGGTCACTTTTTGAGCTAACTGCACTAAATTGAATTGTAATGTAAAACACTACTAAATTTAAAAATAGTTAAAAAGAGCAAAGTGTAACCTCCAGGACATAACTTAGTGGAACAATTACATAGGCTAAGACGCTAAGTTCACACTCATACTTTTACATATACTCCGTATATAACTTGAAATCAAGATATTTGATTACTTATAAGAGCATGATGTGGGCAATGCCATGACATGGAATTCTAAAAGAGAAGGTTGAGGGAGTAGCTAAACTGGGTAGCACTCCCCCTCGTAACCAAGAGGTTGCGAGTTCGAACCTTACTAGAACAAGTGTAGAGCCCACTCATATACCTTTCCGACTAAAATGAAAAACAAAGGAATTAGAAAAGAGAAAAATATAATACACGGAACTATTAGTTTGGAAGATTAAGATTAATTACATATTCCGAGTAAAGAAAATTTTGACTATGAAAGAAGAGAATATTGAAGAATCTCGAGAATTTCAATATTTGCACTCTATTATTTTTGGGAGGGTGGAACTTTTGACAAATAAATTTTCTTATTGAACAATATAAAATTACAAGAAAAATGATATACACATTAGTAATTTCAGTAATAACTTGACTTACAGCTTTGAACAATCCCTAGTGAATGGCTTTACATATGCTCCTGCCAAAATCATGCTCATTAGTAATCCAAATCCTGATACTTCACTTTAAATGTGTGTAACTCGAGTTTTTATTGCCAATGGAAAAACAATACAAGTACAAACAATACAGATCAACGCATCTAGGAAGACCTGTCCCAAGCCTCAAAATTTCAAAGAAAGAATAAAATGCTATATACAATTCCTATCATATATGCTAGTATTTCTACATCGAACACTTGAATCTCAAATGAACTTTATCACAGAGCTTATCGGGTCTGTAAATTCTCTACATTCAGAGTTCAGACAGCTTCATTCCTACATCTCCATGTATGGTACACCATAGCCGAAACGTAAGCATAGCAGACTAGCTTCCAGTTTTTTTTTTTCCTTATACCTACTCATAATCCATTTGCAGAGATACTCTTAACTGTTTGCACTTTATAAAAAACCTAGTTTCGCCATGGTTGATAAGACGTGTTGTCTGCTGAATTGATTACTGAAGAACATATGATCACTTGTCTCACACTCTCACCTTCCTTAGCACACATAGGGCGTATATCCTCACAAATTCCAAAATGTTGTGAGTCTGCTTCTTTTGTTCGGCATCATTAAATCTAGGACATGTGAGCCAGCAGATTGCATCATGTTTAGGCAAGTTAAATCTTTCAACTTAAGATCTAGCCTCAAACCTACTTCTTAAGTACCTCTCACATTGAATTTGCTTGAAATTCCCATTATATAAGCATTTAGTTGCCTTTTAAAGTGACCTTAGTCAAAGTGACACAGCATACACTTCACTAGTACAAACTTTGACAATGTAATCTGACTTTCTGTAATCCATATATAATCTTCCACATAGTCACTGTCAGCTGTACTCTTTTTTGCACCAACATGCTCCCCTAATCTGTGTAATAGATGCTTCGTTAAAACTGAAATTGTCATCAAGTATGATAAATGATTTAAGAGACCAGAAACTTGAAATTACTCTGAATTACAACAGACAGGACAAATAGTATATATCTATAGGAGTAAGTGAATAACTGTCACTTATTGAAAGTACTTTCAGGCCACTAGCCCATACATTATCTATGTACACAAACCAACAATGTTGCGAATGGCCCCTCATAGCAGCATGAAAAGGCACAGGAAGGCTTTTGAGAAATCAATGGACTATGTCAATTGTGGTGAAGTTTGGCATCAATGATCAAGCAACATCTATATATTCACGGACATGGACTTGGAAAACTTCTACAACATTACCAGTAATGCAAACTGGGGGTATAACATACTACATACAAAGTATATCATACTCAACATGTCAGAATATTTACTCAAGTTAAATAACCAAGAAAACAATATGTCAGAAATGTTCATATGCTTTACATGATTTTAAATATTGGTGTTAAGATTAGGTGTCCCAACAAGAATTGCTAACTGTTCTAAAATTAAAAATGGCATACTACACTCAGTGGGATTGATAGAAGTTCAAGAGTCCCTTCCCAACCATGCTGAGGGTAAAAATACTGGACTACCCATCATATGATGATTAGTGGCATATTCATTGTAACAAAAAATACAAGAATGTCTGAAGGGGGAAACTTATTGAAACTCATAAGGTTAAAACCCTTGTTAGACCCAATTTATTGGGCTTATCACTATCATATGGAGTGTTGGAAGTGGAAAGCAAACTATCACCAAAAAACAGGACATGTAAAACTAATATAAAGGCAGCACGGGTTGCACAACATAGATATTGACATATAAAATAAAGGATTTACCTCCAGGATTTCAGCAATAACACCTTGTTTAGATGCCAGCTCATGACAGCCCATAAACTGTTGGAAGAATTGATGTCCCATTTTAGTTCTTCAGATAATGCTTCGTCAACTTCCTGAATAAAAGCTGGCACAGTATCAGTCTTCACTGCAGGTTTCTGTTGAGATACTGAGAATTGAAGACGCTATATGCTTGTACTATGTTGCATTAATGTCAACAACAACAATTACTTATTTTATATTGTATGACAAACTTTTCGCCCTGAACCACTCGGTCTTGGCAAAGATACTTGATTCTAGATCCACTGTCATTGATATTGCAGAAGTTGACCAGCTCTCCCAAATATGGTGGCTGAAACAGTCATTGAGTTGTAACTCTTGCAAGTTATGGAGTTCTGATATACTATGAAGTTATTTCATAATAATTTAACATATAACAGAGATCATCTTCAATTTGACCAACTTATTCAAACAAACCTCAAGGCCATTATAGTATCTTCGAAATTAGCAGAGTGGAGATGAAAGGTTTCAAGATAGGGTAGGCATGTAAAAAGTTCATCTATGCCAATGGTGCAACGAGTAAGCTTAAGTTTGGCAATGTTTGAATTTGCTGGCCATGAATCAGGAATAGACATAGATAGAGACCCAAAGTCTTCAAGGTTTATATAACTTTGATATGCAAGCAAAGAGTGACTGCAGGGATGCAAGTCTTAAAGAACATTGTGAACAGCTGGCTGCCAGATATTTGAAGGTAGTTCTTTTCAACTCGTCAATTCCAAAGTTTCTGGGTAAAAGTAGGCTCACCTAAAAAGACTTAAGCTTATAATCATGAACTGAGAGATGTCTAAGACTCTAAGCAACCTGAGTGTGCCAGAAAGGCAACAAATTACTCATTATGAAGTCTACCAGAGATATAGAGGTGGGTGAACCTACTCAGCATACTTATGGATCACCCATTTTCTTGAAAAAAATAGTTGATTCTGATAACCAATACGAACCGATTAACATACATGAAGCATAGTTGTCTGAAATCCAAGGCCCTTGATCCTGCTTCAATTGTAGGTCCACGATGAGATATAGTAAACAAATTATGAATTGCATCCATTGCTATTTGCGCAGAACAGAAAGGAAAGAAGAAGATCAAAAAGAAAAGAGTAAAACTCGATTATAAAGAAACAAAAACAGAACAATGTTAATTGAAGTATACCAAGTAACTCAAATGGTCAAACAGACAAAAAGAAAGAAAAAGTAATCAAAAGCTCGGAAGAAATTAAATCCGAAGTACCAGATTGTCATATACATGTTAATCAAGTCTGGAAATTTTAGTGGCTAATTGGGTTAGAACAGCCAGTTTCTTTAACAATATCTTCAGAAGCAATGATAAGAATAAGAACTCTAGCATAGTAAGTTCAATAATTGTAAACCGAGAATAAAACACTTGCATCAAACAACATGAAAAAATTTTAACACAAAAAATCATTCAAATGTCAAGGTAATGATTTTAGTCAAATATCCATAAATATCATTAGGAGTTGCAATCCATCTAACTCAGTGATGTCCACAGAAGGCACTTGGTTCCAGAATTTTGAATATCTAAATTTTGTTAAGGCAGGGCATATACATGAGATTGGTGCTATAACCTTCAAAAAAAAAACCAAACAAAACAAAGATCACAACCATTATACTAGAGAGCATATGAAGGGTGGACAATAAATTCAGATTTAAAAGTATATTTGCAACATTTTCAACAACGGTAACACACTCCCATAGAGCGAGTCAGAAAAGGCATGAATTCTTCATAGTAACTAATTCTAGGGAACAAAACTTACAAAAGCATGCATTGAAGTCTAACTGTTCCTGATGCATAAAGTTGGAAAATCGAAATGAGGTAAGGTTTTCAATAGGTTAAGAGTGAGTTGTGTTAGACTTCACAATAGTTTAGAAACACCAGCAATTTTTTTTATAAATAAATAAATAAATAAAAAAGACAGCATCGAGATATCAAGATTTTCATAGAGTGCAAAGTTGTGATGTAGTTAGGGAGGGTGAAATCTAGTCAATTTAGAAGAGAAGTGAATGAGGTTTGTGTTATTGTGTACTCTATAGAAACTGGTATCTCAACTTTGTCATTGTTAATGCTCAAGAATTCCAGCTCCAATCATCAAACAGAACCACAGACAAACAAGATCCCAATTGATTTGAATTCAATATCCCACATCTCCCTTTAATCTCTGCAAGATGCCTGACCAATTTTGGGCTGCTTACATCTACATTCCCAAGTGGTCACAAACATAACATAGATATTAGACACTCGTACCCGACCCAACAGCCGACAGTCCAACTTCCAATATACTGGTAAAATAGACACCTAAACCCAAGCCACATGCATTTAAAGTAGATTTGAAACTGATAACACCATTACTTTCAATCTGAACCATTCCACACCCGACCAGGATTGGAACAAAACCTGATTCAACTCAATCAAGACCCACTTTTAGTCTGAACCAATCCTGGACCGAACTGTTTATAGCCCATCCCGTATCTAAACTGATCTCTTACTGACCAGACTAAACTGTTTCTATAAACGGATGAAGTGAATTATTATCAAAGCTCACAGTCAGTAGTATAGGAGATAAGGTTGATGACAGAGGTGAAGTTCTACAAATTCATCCAAGGTAAATGCAAGAAGGATAGCAGTCATATATTCATTGTTATGGTCTGGCTAGAATCTCAAAAAAGTGTTTCCATCGCTATAGATCTGAACAGTATTATGTGTTTCATATACGAAGTACAATCTATTATTGACCACAAGTCTACAATATTTAACTCCGGATATTGATGTATACAGATTTTCAATTTGCAATTTTATGTCTAAGGTTTAGTATATTAAACCCTCACTGTCCAACGCTGTGTGTGGGAGTGAGAAACTCAGGGGCATGGGGTTAATAGTATGGCATATGAAGATAGGAATTTAGAAGAAAGAACTTTGAAATCAGAATTTTCATTTACCGAGTTAGAAAAACTCACAGTGAAATATTATACATCTCTGCCTCCTGGTGACGAAGTAAGCTGAACAAGCCTTCATTTTCAATCATCTTCCACTACAAGTTCTTTCAGAAGGCTATTACAAACAAAAAGCACCTACTACCAAAATCTATCACTTGCAGGTTTGGCATTAGCTAATTTCTTCCTTGAGAATCCTAACAGCTTCTGAGACTCCATTCTCCTGAGAAATTCTCTTTGAAATCTCTTGGGCACGTGCTTTTATACCAGGACTCATGGCGCGCTTTATAGCTTTCTTCAACACATTAGCACCTTCACTGACGCTAACATTATCACAATTTTCAGGAAGCAATTGATTTCTTCTCAAGGGTTCCGGAGCTACTCCGAGCCAGCACATCCTTTCAGCCCAGTAAAATTGATCCAGCATAAAGGGACATATAACTTGGGGTATTCCAGCCTTAAGTGCAGCTGCAGTGGCACCACTACCTCCATGATGGATAGCAATTGCACATTTTTGGAAGAGCCAACTGTAAGGAAGCGAGCCAGAGAAGCAAAACATATGGTCGTTGTACAAAGATATCCCATCATTTAGGCTGATATTTTCACTATTAATTGATGAATTCTTTTCCGAAGCTATAAGTTGAAGAGCCACATCAAATGGTTCATAATTTCATATCCAGCTGTCAGAAGAATGAATCTACACTTGATTATCTCCACAGCCACTTGCAAGATACAAAGTAGTGCTCTAGGACTCCTCAAGAAACCCATTTTAGCAACTGAGCTAAAAGTTATAAAAACAAGAGGCATTGATAGATTAGCATTAAGAAAGCTATGTAGCCCTGTATGAATTGAACAAAATTCCCTTCTTGAATCAAAAACATCTCGGCAACTGTTACATGAAAACTGCCACTTGCAAGGTGATGACCAAAACCCAGAAACCCGACATTTTGAAGGCCAGTAATCAGGACACTCCACAATCTCTTTACTGAAACCATAAAGGAGATGACGGCCTATCATGCCACATAGGATGACCTGTCACCGGGTCGGTAAAAGGCAAAGGACTAAGATTCAGTTCTTCTCTCCATGATCCCCAATCTTCAGAGAAAAGCGGCCACATCCAATGCATCACATCTTTCCATCCAAGCTCGACATCAGAAGCCTCTTGCAGGTACCTATAAAGAAGTGGAAGTTCCCGCCTGAACTGCCTCTGAAATGAAGAAGGAGCAGTGTAGTTTACAACATAGGGAGCCGCAACAACGCATTTGACATGAAACAATTCAGCTAGTGTCCAACCTTCTAATGCAAAGAAGTTGATCAAAACAAAATCACCATCTAAACTCGGCCCATCACCAAATATCCTTTCCATAATTGATAGGCATTCCTGTCTATGCTCCCATGTAACCGTACGTTTATGGATACTGAATGACAAAGCGAGAGAGTTATCATCATCCTCATTACTTTCTGGAGGAGGAAGAACTGGCGGAGAAGAAATAGGAGCGTATCTTACATTACTTTCAGCCAAGTGTGCAGCTATGTCTTGATGTGCAGAGTGAGTGATGAAAACCACATCATACTTTCGTTGGTCACAGGCAAAAGCTGTAGCAACTGCAGCAATAGGGTACACATCACCCTTTGTGCCAAACGCCATAAAAGCTGCAATTGGCGTGCTTCTTTCGATTTTCACCTCCATCTAACTAATTCTACTTCAACTTAATAAGTTAATGGAAATTGAAAACAAGTGTAAAGCCTCGAATTCCATCTATTGACTTGCACATCCATATATCTGGTACAACATCAATCACACAAACATCCTTCAGAGTTCAGAATACATTTTATCAAGCATCAAAAGCTGCATCATTTTATATTGTGATTCATGAGAATTCATTTAAATATATCATCTTTTTATGAGTTCTTATAATCTATTAAAAAGGCATACATGTACGTTTCAACAATGATGGTAGACAAACACAATTCATGTGCTATTCGACATTCGTAGAGATCCTGAACAACAAGTCCATAGTCTAACCATAAGCAGAGCTATTCGATATTTGTCGAGAACCTAAACAACAAATCCATAGTCTAAGGACGATGTGATTAAAGCCTTACATGAGTTAGTGACTGAAAAATATTACAGACAATTGTATTTCTAGATTCATTATTACAATTAGATTACTACTAAAAATTCAACAATTAATAAGATTATAAGAAGTCTTTTTTCATTGCAAATATGCAATTAGACTTATTAATTTACTAAATACTTGATAGCAGTTTTTTTTTTAATTCTTTTCTTTAAATAGCTTATATCTCATCATTTTTATCCTGACAATAATTACATCTTTGCTCAAAACAATAACCCTATTATCGTTCAAAAAATAAGTACTCGTAAAAAATATAATAATAATATATAAAATAACCCCATTATAAAAATTCATCAAATTAACAACAACAAGAAGCATAATTAATGGATGTTTATAACATCAATTCATGTTTATAATTATCAAAAAATTCATCAAAACAGTAACAAAAAATATTTAAAAATTAGATAAATCATATTAATTTGTTTAATACATCATATAAATAAAAGATACAAATAAAAAAAAAATGAAGCTGAGAATAGTTGAATACCTGAAACCTCATGACTTCATTAGCCATGCTTGTCTTCTTCGCTTCTTCAGTAGCAGAAATTAGAGACAGAAAAACTAAGAAAGATGATGCTGAGTATAACTTTTTGGGCCTAGCCCAATTGCTACATTTTATCACGGCCCAATATATTCTAACTGGGCCTTATGTTGGGCACGTAATTCAAGTCGGTATTGTTGTATAATTGTGTCAATCGTTCAACTGTTAACCAACCCTGAACTAAACTGAAGTGAATTGTTTGAACCGAAACTAACCAAATCTCGAATGGTTTAGAACTGAAAATCCAATCGGTTTAAAATTAATTACCACTTAAGTTAGCTGAAACTGATCCGATTCATAAATTGAAATTAACTTAATTGAAAAGGTTGACTATTGAAAATCGTTTGGTTCAAACCATAACTTGTCCAAAACTGAACTGAAATTAACTTAAAACTGTTTGGATTTTTTGGTTAACCAGACTGAATTAAACCAAAACTTGTTTGGTTTTACTGGTAATCGAACTGAAATAAACCGAAAACTAGTTTCAATTGTTGGTTAACAGAACCGAAATGACTCGAATCGAATTGCCGAAAACGATCTTGTAAAACTTTTGAAGACTATTATATATTAAACTGGAATTAACCTAAAACTATATTAAATCAAAAGAAACCATGTAAAATCAAAGTGTCGAAATTATTCCTTTCATATTAACAATTATCATCCGATTATATGACTAATGAGTTATATTATTATTTGAGTAAGATTATTATTACTTGAATTACTATTATTGGAGTTAAAATTAGAGTGATTTGCTTGAGTAGTTGAGTTAGTATTAAATTATTATTTCACTTGTCTATTTGTCTATATTAATACTACAAACATGATCAAATTCAAATTTATACATTGTACATTTATACTAACGAAACTACACCACCACGGAGAAAGAATTCTTGGCTATTGTTCATGCATTTGAGAAGTCTCGAAATTATTTGATGTGTTCTAAAACCATTGTTTATATGGATCATACAGCTCTCAAATATCTTATGGCCAAGAAGGAATCAAAACCAAGGCTTATTCGTTGGGTACTTGAGCTTCAAACTTTTGACATTGAGATTAAGATAAAAAGGGAGCGAAAAATGTAGTAGTGGATCACCTTTCTAGACTTGAGGATTTCCAAATCCATGATGATGGTTCGGCTATAGAGGATAGGATGCTTGATGACTCTTTGTATGCTACAGAGGTTAAGGAACTCCATTGGTTCGCCGATTTGGTGAACTATCTCGCTCGCGGGGAGTTTCCTCCTTGGTTTTCGAAGAATCAAAGAAAGAAACTCAAGAGAGAGTCTAGGCATTACTTGTGGGATGATTAGATTCTTTATAAGCGTGGTGTAGATGGTTTGTTACGATGTTGTGTTCCAAATAAAGAAGTTCCAAGTGTTTTGAAGATGTGTCACTCGGACCCTAGTGGTGGTCATATGGGTGTTTCTAAGACCGCTTCTAAGATTCTTCAATGTGGTTTGTGGTGGCCGCATCTTTTCAAGGACACATGGGGTTTTGTAAAGACATGTGATCTATGTCAACGAACCGGAAACATTTCAAAGAGGAATGAAATGCCTCAACAACCTATCCTTGAGTTAGAGGTGTTTGATGTATGGGAAATTGACTTCATGGGACCATTCCCTTCTTCAGTTCTTATGGGAATCAATACATTCTTGTGGCGGTGGATTATGTGTCAAAATGGGTTGAAGCCATTGCTTCCCCAACAAATGACCACAAAGTGGATGTTGAAGAAGCATGGAGTTCATCAACGCTTTGGTCTTCCCTATCATCCAAAAACTAGTGGACAAGTTGTGGTGTCTAATCGTCAAATCAGATTGATTCTTGAAAAGACGGTTGCTAGGAATAGGAAAGATTGGTCAGACAAGCTTGATGATGCTCTATGGGCCTAAAGAACGGCTTTTAAGAATCCTATAGGCACCACTCCTTACCGCCTAGTTTATGGAGAACAAAGTTGGCTTGACCTCCATGAGTTAGAAGATCTTTGCTTGGATGCCTACGATTGTGCTAGCATTAACAAATCCCGATCTAAGGAGGTGCATGACAAGCTCATTGAGAAGAAAGAATTCAATGTCGGTGACAAAGTCCTCCGCTATAACTCAAAGATGAAATTATTCCCCGGGAAACTTATGTCCCGTTGGAGCGGACCATTCATTGTTCAAGAAGTTTTTTCTAATGGGGCGGTTGAAGTTGTTCCTTTAGATTCCTCAAGTTCATTCAAAGTCAATGGCTATAGACTTAAATTCTATTATGATAGAGTTTTCGTCGACCTTGTTCACAAGATGTCTCTCTACCATCCACCTTGAAAGGGTGAAGAACGTCAAGCTAATGACGTTATACGAGCGCTTTTCGGGAGGCAACCCGAATTTCTAACCTTCTTCCTCGTTTTTCTTTGATTTTTCTTCATTTTTTCTTCTTTGGTGTTTTTGGTTTGATTGATTTCTTCTTTATTTTTCTTGATTTTAGGTACTTGCGGATTGAAGAAAGTTTTATTTCCAACTATTTTAGTGTCATTTTTGTGACTGGGGTGCTTTTATACTTCGTTTGAAGATTAGAGTAGAAATTGAGCTTTGGTGGGTACGATATAGCGCTCTCATGACTTTGGGATGTTGAACCCACCGTCAAGTCGCTTCAAAACTGCCACGTCTAGTGGGTATAACAATCCCGAGATGAGCTAGATCCTCGTGCCCACGAACAGCCAGCACCACGCGCGACCCAAAACTGCGCGGGCGCGCACGCAACAGGCACAGGCACGCAGATCTGAGGTGCGGTTTTTCCGCGCTGTTACTCGCTCCTTGGCCGCATTTCTTCTCTTCTCTTTCAATCTTTATCTCTCTCCTCTCTCTTCTTCTATTATTCCTTCATTTAATTTCATGATTTTAAATGCTTCATTTTATCATTTTATCACTCTTAATCACTATTCATTAGTTTACACCTTCTTAATCCCCAAATTTCATGCTCTATTTTTTATTTCTCTCTCTTAAAATTGGGATTTTTGGGTATTTTTGTTTAAGGGTTTGGAATTTTCATTTGTAACTCATCCTTGTTATTTTGCACCATCATTTCACTTCCATAAGGTTTTCTAATCACTTGAGGTATGATTTCATCTATGTTCTTTGTTTCTTTTTGTTCTACCTTGTATTTTTGAAAACCCTAGTCTATGCTTCAATGGTGGTTCCAGTATGCTTATCTCATTACCCTCTACTTTGTGTTGAATGTTGATTATTGATGATTGTTTGAAGCTTCATTATCATGATTTTGCTTGTTTGTTTGTAATTTTGGTGCTACCATTGTTGGTCATCTTCATTCTCTTTGAGTATGGTAAGTGGTTTTATTCTCACTTCAACATTTTTTGGGAGTATGTTGCTCATGAAATTGTGCTTGATGTTCATATCTTCTTGTCATTGTTATTTGATTGAATGAGCCTCTATATTTGTTGTGCTTTCACTTGCTCATTTCCTTTTTGATTTTGGCAATTGGTTATTACTAGTTCTTGAACAACATTCTTTGAGCCATATTACTCTTGCTTATTTTACTTATGTTATCTATGGATCACTTTTGTTTTACCTTTTCTCCCTTTGCTTATGACTCTCCGTTGATTTGTACTCTTGAATTCTTGTGTTGTAGATGGCACCACTCCGTCGTCCTAACCCGTGGATCACTTAGTGCCTCTTCTAGAATGGTTGTTCCTCTTCCCTCGAATGTTAGTGCGACCTATGGGATTGAATTCACAAAGCGAGAGCATTGGGATAACTTCATACGACTATCTTCTAGAAAGCTTCTTTCAACAAGATTCTACGATGCTTCAACCAAATCCAAGCTTGGAATCGATGAGGATGTTCGGCGGTTAGCTCATAATTTGGGCTTAGAAGAGTTCATTGGTCTAAATGCCCCCACTTATGCCCGATTGACTTTCGAGTTCCTATCTTCTCTTGAGATACATGAAACCAAAGACGGCGATACCACCGTTCGTAATATTTCCTTCCAATTTTCAATAATGACCACACGATTCCGGTTTCTTTCATCAATGAGATATCACCGATGGATGATAATGAGTGTATTTATCCGACTTTTGACCCATTGCAAAGTGATCATGGTTACAAAGAGCGTCGATGGTGGAGACATATTTCGGTCTAGGATAGCTATAGACCTCAATACTCAAAGGCGGCTTCCATAATCCATCCTGCTTTGAGATACTTCAATCGCTTACTTACGTATGCCTTCTTCTCCAAGGAATCTCTCGGTGCTATATGTCGTGGGGAGTTAAGTTGGTTATGGTTGGCGGACCAACCTTTTGGTGAGGTTGAGTGTAACACCCCCAAATCTCCCTATATGAAAATACAAGTATAATACATATAATTATACCATAGAGATAGACTTAGGCGTATTACCGCCGCTTGATTACGCAAGGCTACTTAAACTTACTAACCAAAACCAATACTTTGCAGCGGAAACTTAAACTCTTTCTTTATTAATAATAATATAAATAGTAATTAGTGTCATGAGTACTCATAATTAGACAAATACCAACATTCCTAATCTAGGTGAAGAACATTCCCGGGACTCCCGTATGCTCAATTCTTGACTCCACCTGAAATTAGTCAACACTGCTTACCATTACGGTAAACAGGGCGAACCAAAACAAATAAGAAATACGGGTTAGCAAAATATTCTAAGTACGATAAGTGCAAGATAAGTAAATTCAATTTATTCGCAAACGTGCTTTTAAAACCAATTCCAATAATCAATCTAATGAATTCCAAAACTCATGATTAAACCAATTCTCAATAATTCAATAATTCGATGAAACGATTTATAAAACCAATTTCTCTTTTTAAAACCAATTCTCTATATCCTTAAAATAATTCCAATAACTCAATAATAATGATTAGTCAAATCAATTATTTTCGAAAACTCAATCTCTTCTCTAAGTGTGCACACCCCCCAAAGCTAGTCTCCTACTACTTCAAGGCTATTCTTGGAGAAAGACTAGGTCATACAAAGTCCATAGCATTCAATGAATCCACATAGTGGGATTAATATAATAATAATGCTTGTAAAGCTTTTGAAATAATTCAATAAAACTCTTTAACG